CTGGGGTATTTCGCCACCCACCGTTTGCTGGGGGGGGGGGCGTTAAACGCCCCCAGCCGATAACTCGAGAACCAATAGGCGCAGCGAAACGCACGAGGCGGCAAACGAAAGAGCGCGACGAGACGCTTCAGATGAGTACTTTAAAGTTGAATTTTGAGGTCACAGGTCGGGTCAAGGTCAGGTCAAACACCTGAAATCGGGCTTTCAGTAGCATGGACTTCAGGACTTCGCAATGGGCGCCTCTCGCCATAAACTGTGTGAAAACGGTGCACAATCCATCTTATAAGGCCTGCAAGAGTGTCAGCTCCATGTAGGGGTCAGTCAAGCATAGGTCAGGGTCAAGGTCAGGTCAACCGGGTAGGCACATATCCCGGAAAATCAAAACTGATATTCGCAGCCTGTGACACATGTTTTATAGGTAATTTGGGGCGTAGAACACGATGGTGACATTCATTTTATCATATGTGTACGTGTTTGGCTCAAAAAGTTCAATTTAAGAAATTCATGTATCATGGTCGTGAAGTAGTCACGAAAAATTGTCAAGATTCAGTTCAAGCTTATGGAAAATGCGGAACGATAATCAAAAATCGAAGATAGCCAATTGATTGATCATGGTATTGGCAGTCTAATGGCGTTTACGGCATGTCTGTATGTCTATTCTGTGATTTTATATGATTTTTTGAACATATGCCGTTTTTGGTCGAAAACTCAGAAATCATGACGTCACTAAAACCTCGATATCTCAAAAATTTTCCGACCGATTTTTTTGAAACTTTGTCACAATAAACTTCAATCAATTCCCTACAGGTACCCAAAGTTTGGCGCGCCTGCGGCGCGCCGTTTTTATGCTATGGCCCGGCGAAAAAAGTGGGGGCGTTTAACGCCCCCCCCCAGCAACTCGCGGGATATCTCGAGATCTAACCGGCCGATTTTCAAAATTCAAACGGCATTCGATTTGGCTCAACGAGATCTACATTTCTAAAAAAAATAAAATTAAAAAATGTCAATAGGGGGGTAGAGGGGGGTAAAAACGGGCAAATTGCAGATATATTTTAGACTGTTTATCACGGCCAGGTTTCTGAACCAATCTTAACGCAACTTTTGCCGATCGATAGAGAATGAACCAGGAATTCACTTGGATCCTAAAAATATGCATTTTCAAAAATCATAGGCGGATACAGATCATTGAGATTGGGGGTACACAAAAAGTATAGTAAATAAGGTTTTTGTTGGTACTGTTTCTAAAAAGGGTGGCAATGGTCTTGTTATGTTACAATTTTCTTATGAGAGAACGACTAAAATTGTATTGGTCATGCATAGGCGGTGTCAGGGCACCTATGTTGGGAGGTAAAAAATAACCCCCTTTTTGGACGCCTGGATCCGCCTATTATAGCAAAAACGTGTCAAAAGAGGATGCACAATAACTTTGTATATGTTATCACATGATACCTTTCATTCACTGTTCGTAAAACTGGTGCAGCATCGTGATCTTCGCCCAAATGACTCGCTTCACGAATAGGACCCCCAATTCCCAGTGCTCTGGAGCCGCCCCTGGTAAAGTTATGAACTTGAAATTTTCAGGGAATGTGCCCAATTTAGTTTTAGGAAAAGTCAGAAAATTTCAGCATCGTAGCTTCAGCGGTTTCGGAGATATTCCCGAAAAACCTGAGGGGTGGATAAAAACAACCCCCCTGCCACTAATAGGGTTAGAATATTTGCTTTTGTGCTGTCATCGAAAGTGAATAAATATCACAATGTCTGACACGATACATAGACATATATATGCTGTGCGGCGTTGTTGATTCTCAGAAATCGTATCGAATACTTTATTAGCATAGATGTAGTACCTCAGAACTGGAATTAAGGAACTCGATATCGTTGCCGAATATGCTTCCCAGAATAATTTATTGTTGAAAGATGTTACTCATCCATGGTATTATTATACGGAACTGGATGCTAGTGAAACCCCAGTCAGACACTAACACACAAAAAGAAATTGCATTCACCACCGATTGAAATGCATATTCGGTAACACGGTGACATTCAGTGAAAGGTGATAACCCATCAGTTGTAGAACAAATATAGATACAAATAATGAATAAGGAACAGAGCAAGACTTTCCGGGGTTTAACACAACATAATTCGATACAATTTTCTAACATCTATCCAATTTATTGGTGGATTGTGATATGCTACTTAAACAAAATAGAATCGAAAGCATCGAAATTTAAATCGAAGGCAACGTCTGAGAGTCTAATAAATCAGATGAATGAATAACAATCGCTACCAAAGCTGACATCCAATACTATGAAAATTTGAAATATAATTTGACCGAACTACATCAACTGTGACCAAATAAATGCCACATGGCCGTTGAGAAAATGGCTGCTGTTAACTATCTCTTAAAGATAAACTTATTTCGACGGACCTTGTGCTCAGCCAAAACCTATTCACTATTCAGTCCCCGCGCCGTGCTGGGATGGGGGGGGAGGTTACGCCCCCTCCCTGGTTTTTCGTGAATATCTCAACAACGGTGGCATCAGTACCTGCCACTCGGTACTCAGACCTGACTGCTGACAGTACCTATGTCAGTACTGCTTCTCAAATCGGGACCAGACAGGCATAGACCTAGAGACGGGACGTATTTCGTTTTTGCAACCAAAGGAAGGCGCTACTCTGATAAATAATGTTCCAGGCAGCGGCTTCCTTTGGTTGCTAAAACGGCATACGATGTCCACCTATTTTATTATATATTTTAAAGAAAGGAGTTTCCATTCTGAATGTTTGTGTATTCTGAACTTACCTTAACCCTCGCCCATGTAGGGGGGGGGGGTTGAAGTTTTTTGAAGTTGGTGCAACCCCCCCCCCCTGAGGTTTTTCTTAGCTACACGCCGAACCGTTTCAGATGGCCTGCTCAAATTTTCAGTACCCTCTGGGGCATCCTTTGCGCAACATTTGGTATTTTTTTTTTGTCAAGGTCATGTCAGGTCACGGAGTTATGACGTCATAAAGGGAACAACCTCCGGCCAGATTTACGCTAAATTGGAGATTGCTTCACATTGGTATAAATGCCGACTGACCTGACACACTGATGGATTGTTTTAGAATCACAACTGGCTGATTTGACATTGGCACAATGTCCGTTGACATTTTGAAGGTTACTAAAGGTCAAGGTAAGGTCAGTGACCTCGGTTGACCTGTAATGACTTCTTGCACTTGTATGCCTTTTCGGGGTATTTTGATGCCCTGAATTCGAATTTGCTATCCATTTCAGGCATCGTCGGTTGTTTCTTGTAGTTCATTTTGGGTCAGGGTCAGGTCAGTGACGTCACACGCCTGACGTGACCCAATGCACAAATGACCTTGCAGACTTCCGATGCTCCCAATGCATCATTTTTAGAGTTATGATATCGAAATACACACCAAACGATAGAGAATTGATCAAGGATCACGATAGTGAAGGTTTCAAGTCTACATGTCTTACCGTTTAGCCGCAATCGGCGCGGAAATATGAAAAAGTTAGATTTTTATTCCGAAAATTTGCCCTTTGACCGGTCATAAGTAGGTCAAATGTTAACCTAGGACCAAAAAAATATACCACCAATCGCGGGATCTCGTTGAGAGCAATCCGTTGGTCTTTTCCGCTAAGCTCTACGACGCTCCGTTTTCAAACGCCAGGGGGGTCGCACCCCCCCCCCCCGGCATGGGCGAAGGTGGTAAAACACCGTTTACGGGCGAGGGTTAGCCCTCGCCCGTACATGGGCGGGGGAGGGAGGGGGTACCACCTCCAGGTAGCTTTTGTGCTCTGCACTAAACATTCTTAAAGCTAGAAGCTTGATTTATCCTTTGTCAGCGTCCAATGAAAATTTCAAGTTTCTGTGGTTTTTGGTTCCGGAGATATTACCTTGTTTTTCAGATCGTGTCATGACCCAAATGGCCAATACTCAATATTGCGTTGGCTATGGGTCTTGTGAGCTATTGACACCTTGATTTCAATATGTTTTTGCTAGTCTTACCTCAACCTATCATGGAACATGCTATTCGACGATGTGCAGATGTAAGGGTCAGGGTCAAGGTCAACTTAGGTCATCTAAGGTCAACTTAGGTCATCTAAAACATTGCATTTTAGGCTCGCTGAATTTGCTTTTCGTGAAGTTTTTTACTGTATTTTTGGTAGCACCACAAACGGCAGCGCCATCGGTATATGATGGGTACCCACGTACTTACATACATACGATCACGGTGGCCCCAAACAGCAACATTTCTTAGTTTGACCTGACCTGGAAGGTCAATGATTGACCTAATGAAGTAAAATTGGGTACCATTGGTTTTGTCTCTTCCCAAAGAATCTGCTGGTCTTTGCCGCGAAGCTCTAGCTCCAGCAGGAACGAAATGGCGCGGAGGTGGGACCCCCCTTCCCTTGGGCGTTCTAGGATGGGAAAATGGCATGTGTGGGCGAGGGTTAACCACTACAAGCTGGAAACCACAAGTTCACCACTGCACTGGCGCAGCCGTTAACCGTCCTCACGGGATCCTAGCCAACCCTGAGTTTCCCTTAACTTTTCATGGGTTGTTTTTACTCCTCCTATCCCTTCAATTTGGCCTTATGGACCAACTCAGGATTGTTCCCGAAGGTAACCGATGAACAATTTTATCTGAAATATAGCAACAACTTTTGTATGTATATGTATACATACCTACAAATACCATGTATATGTATACATGGTGTCAAAACAACGTTTTATACATTAACTATGTCCCAGCTAAACAACAATATTTACAACAACAGCTTTTCTGCACTAGGTAAGTGCAAAAGCTACAGCAAAACAAATTATTTTTCCAGGCTTGGGCCAAATTTGCCCTTGGTGGCCAAAGTAGCACGAAACTACGGTACGCTTCTACAGCAAGCAAATCTTGTCTCGATGTTCTTCTCACGCAGATGTCGCGACGAGCATCCTTCCTCGACCTCAGCTGTAGGTGACGCTGCGTACGAGTCCGTCCACGGCCTGCACATTTTATTTGTCCGCAGTTGGGCATACCAACAGCAAACACAGGCTCTATAGGTATGTACGTTGCCTACTGCCAAGTGCCAGGCATATGTTTTTTCATACATATTTTGAAGTTCTAAGCCAGCGAGACCAAAAACATGCCTATAAGCTCGTATAATGTCTGCAAGCAAGGGAGAAGAAGAGTCGTGAAACCCAGCAAGGCTCCTTACGTCCATATCATCAACGCCAACACACTTAGCTTACTCCGTTCATACGTCAATGCATTATTGTTGTTTTTATCTACATAACTTCGAAGTCTTCTTCTGTTCATTGTGCACGAAGAATGACTGAGCCTCATAGGAAAGCATAGTAGGTATATCATGGTAAATCTTCACTTCATAGTCGACAAAGCAAATTAAAAATAAACGATTAAAAAACGATTAAAGAGCATGGTAAAGACAGCACTAAGTACTAACGGCTCTGTAGGCACCTCTTGTATGATGTCCTCGTCTGGGCCTGCACTCATCAGACAACACTGATTGTTTATAAAATCTGATGGCCAATAGTTGCAAACCAAAATGATAATTAAAATATAAATATTTTGTATTTCATATAAAATACAAATCTTATATAAAATACAAGAAGATTTAAATTTTAATTACCATTTTGGTTTGCAACTATTGGCCATCAGATTTTATCAATATGTCTAACAATACTAAACACTGATTGTCATAACACGCATCCCTCTAAACGAACCTCACTCGATATATCCTAATTACACCAAGCACAGATATCACATAGCGGTATCAGCATTTTGTTGTCGACGGGTTCGCCATTCCTTCTGCAATTTGTTGTTCATTATCAACACACAATACACATCAACTTCAAAAGCAAGCGATGGGCGGAAAATGACGCACGTATAAACCAAACTCAGCATCAAAACTTGTGCATACTGAGCGGAAATGTGAAACATTTCTCAATGCCCGCATAAATGCCGCCATATGCGTGTTTGCCTATCAACAATAAGCAGTGCATGCTCGCCCTCCTTTTAGTTCTTATTCAATGAGAAACGCAAAAATAGTTTCTCGTGCACACTCAATTCAGAGACATTCACCCTCGTAAACGCAATCACTTTGCCAGTCAGCAATGGGCGTTCCAGTCCAACAATCACGCATTTTTAAGTAACCCCTTGATCGCTCCGATGACACTCGCGATCAGTGACGTGATAGTGACCAGTAGTGACGTCACCCCGTTGTGTGTCAGCGTTTGTTGGCGTTCTGTGCCACCTGGTGCTCGCATTGTCTGTCCTCTCACTAAGCTCCAACTCCTCTGTCCTCCAGCTGTGGTCCAGCTCGGAGGTGACGTCATCGACACACCCGGAACTCGACCGGAAGTCGCCAACTTCCGGCCGGATGTCGCTCACTTCCGGTTGTCTTTGGGGTCGGGAAACACGTCCGGCAGCTCCTCCATGGCTGTGCCGCCGGACACGCTGTCGTTGGAGACCTGGGACATGTAGGTACGCGAGCCCATCACCCCGTCGCGCGACTTGCTTTCCTTCGCTGCAATCGACACAGAGGTGAACACTGTCAGAGTACTGTTAACGATACAGGGATAGCAGTTTAACTGGCGAGTCATTTTACCATGTGTGCGTTGGATAATTGTTAAGAATGCTGGAATGCAGCGTTACATTAATGACTGCGTAAATATTGAATCGACCAAAGATCCTACGAGGCATGGAGTCTGTTTCGATGTACTCGATGGGACGGTGTCTAGCATTTCGGCTGTAACTGTCCCAGGGGCGTAGCCAAGGGGGGGGGCATAGGGGCCATGCCCCCCCCCCCCTGGAGCCCAAAAGGGCCCCATCGTGGTGTCATAAGTACGGTAAGGGGTACAATAAAAGTAGCGTAAGGGCCCCTCGGGGCACTCCACTGGGTTCGCGGGAGCCTTTCGGGCTTGAGACCTTGCCGCTAGGGCCCTCTGGGCTCTCTTCATTGGTTATAAAAGGGCCCTTCGGGCCTGAGGCTTTGCCACTGGCCACTGGGCCCCTCGGCGCCCTCTCCATTGGGTTCGCAGGGGCCCTTCGTAATTTTAAGGTAGTTAAGCAAATAACTACGTCATGAAATTAAAAAAAAGTTGGGCCCCTTCGCTCACATGGGCCCCTTTCGGTCTGATTGGCCCCCCTGAGGAAAATCCTAGCTACGCGCCTGGCCCTGTCAGGCGTTCAGGGGCCCCTTGGGGTCCTTTACATGCTCAGAGAGTTTTCCTGTAGATCAGAGGACCCGTCACGCGCGCTCAGAGGCCTCTTCATGCACTTAGAGGGCCCTGTCGTGTACTCAGAGAGCCTTTCTGTGGTTTAGAGGGCCCCGTGAAGCGATCAGGGGGCCCTCCATGCGCTCAGGGGTCCCTGTCGTGTATTCAGAGGTTTTTTTTGTTTCTTAGAGTGCCCTCGTCAAGTTATCAGGGCTTACGAGGCTCTCATGGGCTGTAGGGGCCTTTGGCGGTCTGAAGGACCCTCATCCGACCTACGGGGCCCTCAAGACCGCCTTCAGAACCGGCTGAGCGACTCTATGAAGCTATTCGTGGGCTTATCTAGCAGGGACCCATCAACTGCTTGCCCCTCATTTCTAACATTTTTTTCATTTTTTGATACTTTTTTAATTTATTTGGGCCCCCTCCAAAAAATAGTGGACGAAATCCGATGACTTTTTGGATTTTGAGGGGTTTACCTTGGGCCCCTGTAAGTTTGGCCCCCTCCTGGAGGAAACCCTGGCTACGCCCCTGTTACTGTCCTGTCTTATAAAAAAGTGAAATGTATGCATCATACACGATGACCAGTTCACAAAGTCCCGATACTTGCTGAAAGCACTCTGCTTCATAGTGCGCTTTGATGTGGCTACTTCCGAATCAAATGCGCCCCGCTACTACATAGCACACATCAATATGCAGAAAAATTGCATAAATAAGTTATGGGCTGAGTCATGACTGTTTTGAGCCTGCATTGTCTGACCTGAATATCTAATCAGTTTTATCGACGCAACAAAAAACGCCAAAGGCTAAAAAGCTCTTTTGACACAATATTGCTCTTTTCTTCGTTGATTTAAAATGCAGATGAGAATGTTGTTTACCGTAAAAGAATTCCTTGCAAAAGTCAGCTAAAAGTTTGGACGAGAACTTTGATATGAGTGGAAGCTAGCAAACAATGAACTTATTTATTATTTCACATATGCGCACAAAAGAAAATAATAAAACGTATGCAGTGTGTGCCATTATCTAATAAGCCTAAACGAAAAAAAGACCAGCGCGCTAGCGCCTTTTCGATTCCGTTAGATGGATATTTTCCGATGAAGCCAAGCACGAAAGCAATTATGCTCGAAACTATGCTGGTACCAACACAAAAAGAAAGACAGACAGTAATTGAAATTAACAACCATTCCTCAAAAATGCTGGCGAAAAACTTAAAACGAGAACGGCCGGTGGATGTTGGTGGATGTTTGCATAGAGATCTTATATGTATACATATAAGATCTCTATGGATGTTTGTCCATCTTTTGGCGTCACTAGTGCAGCTTTCATATAATTAGCCGCGTTAACAAGCAAGACAACATGTTGGGTCAGTACTTTCCAACGAACTCTGGCCTATTTTATGCCTGTCAAACAAAAGGGAAGCAGCATGGATGCTCGACAGATATTAGTTTGCACAGGTTAAAGTAACAGCAATGGTTTGCCTATGCGCCATGCGTAACTATAAAAGATTTCCACTTCTTTTAACCATATATTGAATGGAATGCAATCTTAAGCCAATCGTTAAGGGTTTCGGTATACTATTTTTGGCTTTAGGCATTTTATGAGTGACAGTCACAAAATAACGTTAACAAGGAACAATCCATTTACGTGGTCCCCGACGTCACTCGTCACAAAAAACGGATGGCTGTGGTCGATTTGACGGCGGATAGGGAGCGAGCAGATAGCAGCACGTGATACGTGACCGTGACCGTGTTGAAGTGTTCCAAACGTGTTATATTGATAGTGGCATATATTCAGACCGGCATCAGTGAACTAAGATCAACCAAAAGCTGATTCCGACCACGTTCAATTAATTGATTCAATAAGTTAATTAATTGAATCAAAATAATTTAATTAATTAAACTACCACGGACCACCCAAGTGTTTGACAGTAACCACGCGGGCTTACTGTCATACCCATTCAAATCATCGTGTGCCGTTTATCGACATAGTGGTACCCAATTCCCAAATATTCTTTACAATTTAACCCGCGCCCCACTGGGGGGGGGCTATTTATAGCCCCCCCTCCCGTTTTTCTGCAATAACTTCCGAACCGCTTGACCTATCGACGCCAAACTTTCATTACCTTAGGCTGCATCAATTTGACACCTTGTGTCAAAATTTGAACTTCGTACCTACAATAGGGCGGCCGGAAATGACGTCAGAGTGACGTCATGTTCGGCCGATTTCGACGCAAAACATTGAACCACGGCAATCGCTCCCAAGAGCTCAGTTTTTACGCTAGATCCAATTTCTTTGCATTAGAGGACTCAGAATTGACTGCGCTATCAAACTGCTATCTCGGATTTTCGAAATTTTGAAAATTTCGAAAATTTAATATAATAATCTCCAAAATTTATATTTTTACTTTTTTTCAAAAATTTTTGACTTTTCGAAAAAACCGGAATATATATGATAGAACGCATTAATATGACTGACTCTAGCAAGTTTTAGCTAAATATCTTCAAAAATGGCCAAGTTTTACGCATTATTGCAAAAAATTCACAATTATTAATTTTTCAAATCAATTTTTCAGCACGTATTTGACATCGTACGCCAATATAAATAGCACCATCGTGTTCCTGAGCTCAAACTGCATCCAATAGACACCTTTTTTTGTTGAAAAATTTTAACTTCAAAATTTGACCTTTTTTGACCTGAAAGTGACCTAACATAAGCTAAATGCGACTCAAAATGACCTCAGATGACACAGACGACATCAAATTCGAAATCTCTGACCTAAATGGACCATAAAATATGTGTCACGTGACCGACGCATGATATAATATTTTCGTGACCTGTGATGACCTGACCTTGACCTGAAAATCAAAGTACAAGTTTGGTACCCTCAGGGTAGCTAGAGCATCTGTTCCCGAGTGTGTGATTCAAAAATGAGCCTGATCTGACTTGTAAGACGGCGGCCAGAGCCCAAAACGTGATCAAGCCAAAATGCGAATAATTTTTACTTTGACCTGACCTGTGACGTCATCGGTGACCTCGAGGTCAATGAAATTAGGTTTCGCTCGACAGTTTTTCCGGGGCTATCAGACGCCGTTTGAATTTTGACGATCGGCCCAGTAGTTTCGGAGTTAGGAGGGGGCTATGAATAGCGCCCCCCCCCCCCCCCAGTAGGGCGTGTTATACGCAGACCCCAGTGGGGCGCGGGTTAACAATAAAGCAAATGGTGACAGGAGTCAAGAGTGCTAAGTTATTCTTTGCCTTCTTGGATCGGTTGAGGTTGTTTTTTAGTTAGTTCCTTCAATTCTGTTTTATGAGGTAACTCAAATACCCTGACCTTCCAGGTGTTTTACATGATGTATGTAGGTACTTATGAATCTGGGAATTGAGCATTAAAATAAGGCAAGGACTCCAAATGTACGAGTCAAACAGCCCGATATTTTCATTCATTTTGATGCGGCTCAGATATTTCCCCGCCCACGGTTATACCACGCAGGCCCATTGGCTGCGTCATAAGTTACGTTCAAGTTCAATGTGCATGCACTGAAAGTCTTGAAACCAATGAATGTAAGCGCAGTCCGGTTATTGAGCAGCTGACAGCCAAAAACGTTCACAAGACACACGGCGACACTCCTGCCACCTGCTGGCGTTTTCCGGCGGCGACAGCTGCTTTCCCAGGGAGATTCGAGCCAGTCGGGCCGACAACCGAAATGTTCCGGCCCTGGAAACTGGGACAGAGGCATACACTCTGCACGGCATACCTAAAACACCGAGCATTTTCTCATACAACCAAGGCGACTGAGCAGTGTTATCAGTAAATCTGACATTTTTTTTTTTAGAAAACTTTATGAGTCTTCCGTGAATTTGTTCTGTGAACAACATGTTCTGTCGTCGTTGGAAAGCTGCAGTGAGCACCAATGCGGCTCGAACCACGGGATCGCGAAAAGACGTAACGTAAGCGTAAAAAGAAGCACATACATCTTGTTCCATACACATCTGAGTGGATTATTTTATCAGTTGTTTTATTGTCGCGTAACTTTTAGTATACTGAATAAGTTATGCTTGACATCCATCAGCGTGTTATTGGATTTTGTCGAAGTAACTAGCTTCCCGTTGAAACAATAACAACAATACGAATCTGCAGGACTACAACAAGAAACATAAGGTGCCAACTGCTTTCTATCTCCTTCGAACTTGACTTTAGAGCTCAAACTAACCTTCCCCACCAAGGCGCCCCTCTGCTTTCTGTCTGTGAGCCCGTGACAGTCAACTTACACTGCATGGAGCTGTCGGAGAAGAGGCGAGGGCGGCGGCAGAACAGCACCGTCTTGTACGCCTGTCGGTACTGCTTGCTCATGATGACGTAGATAATGGGGTTGACACAGGCGGAGAAGTAGCACAATATGTAGCCCAGGATGTGCAGACCTGTAATGAAACGGGCACGAGTTTACTTGAAAGAAACGGACAGCACTTGTTCAGCTAGGATGTTTCGTGGAAATGGTCTGATGAGTTTTAATGAATTATTCATCGTTGAATTTGCTCCACAATTAGCGTGTGATAAATGGCACACATTTAGCATTCGGTTTCATCTCTCATGTATTTTAATGGAACTTTTGCAGATTGCAAGGCTAGATCCGAAACATTAAGTTCATCCAGGATATTTGAACACGACATACCTAATAAAAATCCACATTGAATGCCAAACATTTTAGTCAAATTTCAGCACAGTTGAAGCTCACACAAACATTTTACTACGGAGCATGTCATACCTGGGTACTTGACGAACGGATCTTTGATCTTGGAGACGGTGACGGGCAGGTAGCAAAGCAGGAACGTCAGGAAGATCACCAGCGACATCCTGGTGATGCGCATTTCGTTTTTGCGCCGGCGCTCCTCCCTGGATTTCTTCTGCTGGGTGGTTTCCTTGACACCGGCCTTCACGCTGTGGCGACGCATTCTGCGGTCCGACCTGGATTGGGCGGGGGGGGGGGGCGATCGATAAGTCGATTAATTTTGTTTTTATTGTCGTCACCATTCCCTCTAACTGGCAAAATTTCTCCGGTGTACGAGAGGCTACTGTTTGTTGCCTTCCCTATGATACCGGTTGTGATGTGAGGCCCTTGGTGGGCAGGTTAGGACGATAGTCGATAGGACGGGCGGCGCCGGGAATCGAACCCGGTTCCTCCCAAACTGACGCCTTACCAGGAACTAGAGGTGGCAAAAGATGAAAATTTTGGGAACCAGACTCGAACCAGACCCGGCTGGACATTTCTGGAACCAGTCGGACCCGGTCTTAGTTGGAATCGGAACCAGTTGGACCCGTTCCCCAAAAGTCAATTAATACAAAGTACTTGTAGTCATCATTAGTTGCATCATGTAAAACAGCGTATTTCCAATTGGGAATAGTCATGAGCTACTGTGTGCAAAAACACATTCACTTAATTCACTTCATATTTTGCAATAATGTGTAGTGTGCAAGATGTATAGTTTATGGTAGGACCCGGTTGGACCCGTCAGAAAATTTCCAGGAACCGATCTGGACCCATGTAGGTCCAGACTGGTTCTTTGGACCGGGTCCTCGGGTCCACATTTTGCCACCTCTACCAGGAACTGTATCATCGTCTTCGCAAAAGCTCTGAATGTGGTTAGCTTGGCTCGTAAAGTAAAAGGTATTTCTCTGGAAGTGGGGAATGTAACTATTTTGATCCGTAGTGATCATACTGGAAAATAGACAAGCTATTGTCGCAGACAGTTGCATTTTGACTCATGTAAGCTCGACGGGAGTCTGAGAGCTAATCCGAATGCCGCTCATTCTTCATGCTTGTGGTCGGAGGGAGTGCACACGATTGCTGGAATCAGCTAGAGTTACATATTCAGGCAATAAACCTGTTAATATTTCTTATTTTTTACTACAGGAAAATAAATATCGCGAACGGTTAGGTAATTGTATAATCTATATTACTATAGTTCTTTTTTCAAAAGGACGCTGCCTCCAAGTCCATTATCGAAGCTATCACTTGAGTTTTGGCAGCTTCAGCGTCTGGCCAAGAATTTCTGACCGAAAAAATATTCTAGTTCAAATTTTTTCACGGTAAACACCTGGAAATTGTGTCTGAAAAAAAATAGCATGCTATGATGACGTCACTGGTGGCAGCAGGCACCCAATGTCCGTACAATGGGACGAAGTGTCGACGAATTTGGGGGAAACTTTGTTTTTCACTGTTGCGAGGTTATAATCGAGTAAGCGGTTCCGTCCATGTTATTAACACGTTACATTGCAATACAACTTCGATAGCATGACGTCACCGCTGTTCTGATATCTAGTCAGAACCGAGCACGTATAACAGTATTTCAGTATTTCACATGTATGCGTGGAAAGGGTATAATTAATCAGCAGTCAATGCCAGCGCAAGATGTTGCTCCGCGAATAGGACTGCATTAAGTGATGCAGACCTACATATTTCCACACTATTTCAGTACATTTTGCCACAGATATATGTTTAACCCTATTCCTGGCGGGGGGGGGGCCTCAGGAGCCCCCCCCCCCTGAGGTTTTTTGGTTATTTCTCCCAAACGCGTTGAGCTAGGAAGCTCAAATTTTCTGACTTTTCCTAAAAGGCTTCTACGCAACATGTCTGAAAATTTTGAGTTGATCTGACCTCAGGTCAGGTCACCAGAGGCGGTTTGGTGACCCTACCTCAGAAAAGTTTGCAATCACGCCAGAGCTAGAGTTTTTGACCGATCAATTTCTTCTCTTCAGGCTTTAGTTAGGGTACCAGTATGTGCAATTTGTATATCTCGGAATTTTGATATCGGTGACCTAAGGTCAGGTCAGTTTCGCGACCTCCCCATTATAAGTCAATGGGGGAAAAATGAACTCCCTGTTTTTACCACTAAAACGGGTCGGAATGGCCCCATATACCATAAATGACTTCATATACGATCAACCTTCACTACCTTGAGGTCTGTTTTGCTGTTGGGCAGCTGTGAGGTCATGTGACGTCATCAAAGGTCACCAAAGGTTTTTGGCCAATAACTCCGTACAGGAACAAGATACAGACGCGTGGATGGTCTCATTGTGTTCAGCTCGTCAAGACGCATCGAATGATATACATGATGACCTCGAGGTCACGTGACCTGAGGTCAACCTTTGACCTTGACCTTTCGAGGTCAACATATATATCATTCGATGCGGATTGACGAGAGGATCACGATGATGCCCTTAGTTTGTTCCTATCTTGACTAATTCGAAAGTTATTCGAGAAAAACTCTCTCCATATCTAGCGCCGCCATTTTGACTTTTTCGACCCCTGTGACGTCATCTTTGACCTGACCTGAAAATGACCTTAGTAAAAATTGTAGATCTTGACCGTGCGTATCCGATGCCGTTTACCGTTTGTCGCTGCGATGTGTAGTTTTTTAGATCTGAAGGGGGGGCCGAATCGGCCCCCCCCCCCCCCCGCCAGTTTCTTGTCCCGGCGGAGCCCGCCAGGAATAGGGTTAAACATATATATGTGGCAACTGGCAAAATAAACTGAAACAGCGAGGTCAGCTACTCAATTGGGTTGTAGACCTCTGGCCACTCCAAGGCCTCGGTTTTTGCTTCCTTTCCTGCAATCCATCGCTTTGGCTGCTCCGCGCTGGGCATTGGTCCCATCAATCATATTTCAGTGCTGTAACTATGCGATACACGCAATGCTAGATGCGCCGCTGATTTACTACTCACTGGCAGTCGCCAGTCAAGGCTTCTTTTTCCTCTGGGAACAGATACACGACCATAGATACGACCAAGATATTTCGCTAGCCGGCCGACGCATATCGGAATCGGAGCGATTTGCGGAAAGGAAGGTCCCTCACCCTGGCACTGCTATCACGCGTTGCTGCACATAGCGTCCTTCAGTGTGGACTAAATAAGTGTTTTATGTAAGCATGTTAGGCAATCCTCTGACATAGCAACTTCAGGAAAGCTGATACTGGAAAACGAAAAACAATATGACGCAAACCCACTGCAGGAGCTCGTTAGAAGTTCAGTATACCGGGTGGCCCAAAAAAAACGTTCCGAACTTTGGAGGCCTATATCTCAAATTCGAGTGCAAATAACGAGCCAAAATTTTCATCAAGTTTGCGTCACTTCTTTGCGCATTGGTATGTCAAATTATAACACTGTACCATCATTTTAAAGCCAGCAATCTTATGTTGAATGAAGTAAGACGTTTTTGCTTTTTTGCGGTTGTTGAACGGAAGTAATGATTTGCTTAGACGTACAATGTTAGAAAAAATACAAAAAAAGAACGGCTTGAATGATACCAGCACGTGTGTTGCTATTTTGTATTTTTTTTTGTCACACTTATGTGCTAAATATTCAAATACTAAGCCAAAGTTGTGTTACTGGATGCCATTCGTTTCAACACAAGTTCTGTTTCAAGGCGAAGGAGTGGCACGGTGCATGGGTTTCTGCTGATCGCCCTCCCTTCAAGAAGATCAAATAGTAAATCGACCGAATAAGGAAAAAAGCTAGAGGGAATGTTTTTTTTTTTTTGCCTGAGGCCTGAACCACCAATGAGACTAGTTGCCAGTAGCAGTCATGGCTGTAGGCCGTGGTGCCGAGATGGAAGTGGCCCGTTCACTCACATTTTTGGTAAACATCAGAGCAAAAAAGTGATTTTTACATGGCATGCTAGAAACATGAACCGTTTAAAAAGTAATTGACCGAATAACATAAAAATCACACCATTTACTGAAAATGTGTGCCGCATTAACTATTCGAAGTTTCAATGTTGTATCTTTATCACTTTCTGAGAAATATTGATTTAAAGTTGGGAACGTTTTTTCTGGGCCACCCGGTATATGCTAAGCAAATAATTATTTTTTATGACTTTTCCGTAGATCAAACACTTGAGCTAGACAGTATGGTTGTTGAAATAACAAATACTTGCTCGTTATTTATTTTAATTTGTCCTTCAACAAATAAACTTAATTCCGAATCTGGCCATGGCGCTCTTTTCTCCGAACTAAATCGGCCGCACAAGACGATACATTGATATGATTGTGATGACGATGGTGAGCAACAATAATAGCATGACATCCACAAGATAGTTACTGACGAGAGAGCCTACTCACAATACGATGACGAGGAAGATGCCCACGTAGCAGATGACGATGGCAATGCAGGGGATCAGGAAGCCGATCAGAAAGAGCGCCTTTTTGGCCGAGTTTCCGTTGGCATCACGGACCACCGTGCACGTCATCAGAAGAGGGTGGTAGCCGAACCGACCTGACGGTGAAAGGCGTCATTCAGACATCAGTCAAACATTGGTCACAGGTCAGCATTCAGTCTTCGGACAAACAACGGTCTTCAGTTAGACAGAGATCGTCGTCAGGGTATCAATATCCTGGATGTATGAATTCAAGTACTCCCCACACTCTCATTTAGTCCCGTGAACATTGAATTGTGAATGGGTCGAGTGGGAGGAAAGCCCTTATCTTTTCAGCAGTGAAAGTCAGATGCAGCTTTGGTGCTGAATTGACGTCGACGGCCCTTCAACAGCAACTGAGACAAACAGGGTATTTATAGGGCTGAGCTGTGCCCAATTTAGAAGCGTTATTAGCTACGAAAGCTGGCACTTGTTGACGAAATAGAGACTCTTGTAGAGTTCCTTTTCATTTGTAGCTGAAACTGTCATCCTTTGAACCCAAACTACCTGTGTCGAAGGATTGCTGTTAAGTAATGTTAATCTTCCAACTCAATCCCCACCCCCGACCGAAAAAAGTAACTAGCAAGCATCCAGATATTGGGCTCGTGCTTGACGCCTCCCCGGCCGGAAGCCCTCCGTTGGCTGAGTAAAGGCCGATCACCGACTGCACTGGTGGCAGTTCGTCCTTCAGGAACCACTGCTTCAGGCAGTTTCTCCTTCAGGAACCACTGCTTCAGGCAGTTCGTCCTTCAGGAACCACTGCTTCAGGCAGTTCGTCCTTCAGGAACCACTGCTTCAGGCAGTTTCTTCTTCAGGCGAGCACTCACCCCACTGTCCGGCCAGGGTCGGCACCAGCATGCCGAAGCTGTAGCCCCAGATGAAGAGGATCTGCACCACCACCCAGCGCCGCTCGTAGATCTTGTTGTACACGTTGTTGAAGGCGATCATCACGAACCTTGAGTGAAGGCGGCGTGGTTCAACGGACTCTTGGAATTTACGCCCACATGAGTATAGTTGTCGTGTATCCATATAGAGTCATGCGATGCAAGCTTTTTTACCCATTCTCCATTTCCCTGTATATAGCATCAGATAATATGCTTTTCTGTGCGGTGCGAGCGACTTTAGCGAGTGTCATTTGAGCGAACGTCATTTGAGCGAACCAATTTCAGCGACTGGCAACTTAGCGAATATCAAATTAAGCGATTATCAAATATAGCGATTATCAATTTAAGCGAAAGCTATGTTTCAACGACATCTTTTTCGTCGACTACAGTTTGAGCGACTGTCATTTCAGCGAAACACTTCATCGTCCCCTATTTTTTCTTTTTTCTTTTGCGAGCGTTCGCACAACGAATGTTTCCGGAACTTTTCATGTTTATCCGGAACTGGATGGCGGATGTCACGTTCAAAGTTCAGACATTAAGCTCCAAATTTAATGCCACATTTCTAAAAAATTCCAGCGGTTCGATTTCACCTTGCTGTTTGCCAATAATGATGACCAAACGTTCGTTCAGAGATTCATATTCCTTGTGCTGTTTTTCGCGAAATTCCCCCGCTTTAATTTGAATCAGTTCCCCATGTTGTAAAATTTGTTCTTGCCCGAAGCAACGTACCTACGAATTTCCAGATATTTGGGTGAAGTCCCTGGACCCTGAAACATAGACTGGATCCCCCTCTGCCATCCCTCGAGTTTATTATTGGTCCTTGGCATTCCTTCCATCGTCCTATCTCTCACGTTCCACATTTCCAGATCAAAGTTGCAGAATGGGGCCAGATAGTTTTGTGGTTTCCAAGCTTAAAAGCAAATTTTTAATTTACCGCGCGCAGCTAAGCTTGAAGCATGACACATAACAAGCGGGTATTCCAAGGGTAAGGATTACCGAAAAGTAGCAAATGATTGACTTCCGTCGCGTTCGGTTTCGCTGTAACTGTGTTCGCTCATTTGGTCCCCCATTGACCTCCATATATTCGCTCAATCTGGTTTCGCTGATTCTGGTCCTCGCTTAAGTTGATAATCGCTGTGATTGAATTCGCCGACTTGACAATCGCTGAAAAAGTCAATCGCTTAAATTGATAATCGCTGAAAAGACTTCGCTCAAATGTCGTTCGCTGAAATGACGCTCGCTCAGGTGTCGCAGAACCTTTTCTGTGATATACGTTACACCTATCCACCATTTTCACTTAATATAAAACCTTACATCTACCGATATAATAAAAGTTACGTTACCATCATCGCGTCTCTGAATGCAACTGGATCAGTCTAATATGAAAACTGAAGCATAACGTACGAATTGAAATATCTGGGTATGGTTACGTCCTACCGGTTACATGAACCTCACAAGACCGATATAGATAGACAAAATGTGCCCTTACCTGTTGATGGTTATCTGAAACAAGAAACTTCTTGTTAGACTCGAATTGAATACACATACATACAATAGGTAATAGTACGGAGCCATAACATTTTCAACTTAACATTCAGGGTGGTCGAGTAATTAATAACTCTCGCAACTCATCTCATTTCCGACATGTACGAGTGCATAATCCTTTTTCGCTGCTCTTGTGTTTCACGCTGAAATTGTTCTTAAAATAGTTACTTGCTTCGTATGATCCTGTTAACGACATCAAGGTCTTTTTCCCACATCTGCGCATCCTTTTTCAGAGATATTTTATACCAAGTCCCTTTAATGTCTCGGTCTATGTAGTGAGACTGTAGCCTAGTCGTGTTTCTCGTAAAATGCTTGTGCCCTATACCCCGCTATATGGCTATACTATATGAAGACCATGCAAAGGCCAAGCCAGCCACTCCCCAGCCCAGCCCACCCCTTCCTCCAACACTCTCTCACCATGGCGATTGATAGCAGCGAGCAGCCCACGTTCCAGTAGCGCAGCAGAGGGAACAGAACGCAGATGAAACCGTCGCCAAACAGCCACTGGCCGTTAGCGAAGCGCGACACCTCGAATGGCAGCACGAGCAGGCAGAACGAGAAGTCGGCCACGCACAGGCTGCCGGCACGCACACGGCACAATCACAGAGCGTGTCAATAGGGGGTCTCTTTGTGAGGCGGCAGCGCCGCGCCGGAGTGTGATGCCGGCCGGGCCTCGGGGTGTGTGAATGGGGCCCCCAGGCAGCCTGGGTATTGCGAACGGCCCGACTCAGAGGCGTAATAAATCAATTGAAAGGTAATTCTTGACGGTATGCAAAACAGGCGAACATTTTAAATGTATATTTGAAATTTTCTTTAGAAATTGCTATTAGAAGGCCAAGTATAGGAGTAAAATCAAAGTCAGTAAGCAGTGAATGACTAGCTGAATAGAGACAACCACGTAAAATTACGCAAGTTAGGATTCCAAGAAATCTGCCAGTCACCAACGCGCTCGAAAGGTCTCTTTTCCATTTGTTGAGCTGTGTCGTAATTCGGAACGTTTAAGAGAGCAGCACTTGGCTAAATCTTATTTCACATTTCGAAGAAGAGGTAAGCTTCAGAGCAAATTTTTATTACATCAACTATCTAGAAGCTTGTACTACTCGCGTTTTTGCACACTAGTCATGTTTCAGCAACGTGACATTTCGGCCAAATCCTCCAAAAATAATCCCTTTAAGACTTGGCAGTGCCTGTGTTCGGGCTCGAAGAAATGCCGTGTCACCATTGCTCTGATCGCTGGCCAATGCCGGCTCCCACTGCCCTCCGTCCGCGCCACACCCACGCTCCGAACGCGCACCGTCCGTCTTTGTTTATAGACCGTCTCCAAGTCGGCGTCACGGGCCGTCCTTCACGCCCCCATTGACAGGTCACCGGCACAGAGACAGCGCGCAGAGCGGAGCACACGGCTCAACTGCAGCGGTGCGGCCGCTTTGATACCGCGCTCAGAGGGCAGCGATGTCACGGAGACGATCAGAGATGCAGGGCCGCGTCCGGAACGCTGTACCGCTCAGGTTGGTGGTGTTATTGAGAGCCAGCCGGGCAGTCACAGACAGGCAGCCTTGCGTGGCGCCGAACTGGGCCCCGGTGATAGTGCTCGTCTAGGTGGCTTTGAGAGGTCATATCGCTGAAAGGTGCTTGAGTGGTCATGTCATCACGACGGTATATTGCAGATAAAACTGGACACCACTGGTATATCCATTAAAGGTGCTAAAAGTCACGATAAGAACTAATCCCCCTGTGTCATCGCTCACTCTCATAAACTCATGACGTCAGTGAGATCTGATGACGTCACTGAGGACGTCACCTGTGGACAGAGGCAGCTGACGGTGCCCACCTGCAGATGAAGGCGGCGGTGACGTTCCGCACCCTGGGGCACCTCAGCAGAGCCACGATCGTGATGGCGTTGCCGAACAGACCCACGACCATGAAGGTGGCGATGAGCACTGCCGTCAGCGTCATCAGCGAGGGGGAGAACCTGCCGGAGAGGTAGCTGGTTAGCCGTGGTTCCTACTCCGAGCTCAGTGCAATCCGCGGCAGGCACCACTAGACCATAGGCTGGCATTGAGTACAAAGTTGTGGGTGTTTGAAAAGTAGTCCCAAAAAGATTCGGAAAAAATTCAACTGCCACTTACAATAGATAAACGTAAATATCCAGGCATTAGTCAGATACAACTTATTCAAGTGAGCATGTATGTCAACAAACTACGTTGGTCTTAGTGTATACAGAAGGGCAATGTCATGCAGGCTGCGGTGCCGAGTCTTGTCTGTAGTCAGACTGGTGTTGTAAATGGCAGTAAATCAGCCTCGGCTGTGGGAGACCTCTGCTATCTGCCGACCACCCCCCCCCCTCCCGCACTGCCTCCTCCCCTCCCCCATTACCCCCTCTTGGAACAAACACCATGTCGTCCCGCTAAAGGCGTGACAAAGGAGCAGCTGGGGCCCCGTGTGGTCGGTTCCAGGGCTCGGCTGGTAATACAGAGCGTTAGTATACCGGTGCCGACACTGCAGTGTAGTGAGCAAATGCGACCTCCATAGCCTCATTGTCATGTGAATTTCTGGAATTGGGCCAAATTCATCCGGCATCTAATTCAACAAAATAAAGACGACAAACATCCAAGGTGATAAGGATTCCAGTATGACATGCAACATGCGTTGTAAATTGATATTATGTCAAGCCTTGCCTGCGTCACACACAAAGCTCTTCGTAAGTGCGTTTACAACTACTGCTTTATTTTATGGTATCATGTTACATAACTGGGTAGAACGGCACTTCTAATAGTAAATAGGCGGTAAATGTATTCAACAGCAGAGGTACGGTAGTATTTTAGGGCGAGTTCCAGCGAAACTGAACAATGTTTCGTGGATGGGAGGGTTTCCCTCGTTAGTGGAAAGGCTAATGAAGAAGGATGAAAAGAAGCGACTGACTAAATGTAGCAATAAGCCGCACCAGGTCAGTGCACCCAGCTGCCCAGTAGTGACCTGACACAATGTCATTTCGGGTCACAGTTTCGGCTCAATAGCTAAGACAGACCATTTAACGTTGGCTGCTGAAATTCAAAGAGTGATTGAAATACGACTTCCGAAATACGACGCTCAAGGCTAGAGGCAAGAGCTGCGTAGAAAAGCGTTTGTATATCTGAATAAATAGCCTATCCATGCTCACTGCGAGCTGTATCAGCTGGCCTTGGCCGCTGCTGCGGTAATGATGGGCCAATGCGTTAAAGATCAGCACAATGCAGATCTACGCGCCATTGAATCTTCGTTCCATTGTTCAACATTAAGCTTTAATTAAGAACAAGAACAGATGCGTCGTCCTTTCGTAGCATCTACACACTTCGTGCAGTAATTGTTGGTTAATTCAGCGGTGAATTGGACTGTTACTAAGCTCTAAAGACAGTGAAGAACTTCTGCAGAGCAAGTGCAGTTCCTAGCTGGTATAGCGTTCCTAGACCATTTCAGTAATCGTATGCGGTTATTCAGCATGAAGATCTCTCAATTGAAGGTACTTGAGGTAGGCACAGTTCTTCCCTTTACATTTTAAACGACTTTCCGAGAAATAATGAGACAGCTTCTTTGCGCAGTGCGTTCACGTTATAGCTTTACCTACGGCTGGCAGCACTTCATTATAGCATGTATGTACCCCTCGGTATGGAAGCCCGCATCGCATCAGTTGATTATATACCTATTGTGAATGGAATGTCGCCACTTCAAAGGCATCCAAAGCAATTGAGGAAGGGTGTTATGCGATACAAATGAAGAGAGAGGAGAGAGGAAGGGAGAGAGAGGGAGAGATCAGAGAAGTGAGAGAGTGAGCTACTCTGAAGCAGAGGTAGTTACGTACCACACATTTTCCTTTGCTGTTTATCGAGCCTTGGTAACTGTTTTCAGATGTTTGACGCTCTGAATGATAGGATAAACAGTATAGGAACAACAACACGTACTGAATTCGAAGAATGTCATATAATCGCTACTTTTCATGTTTTGAAATCAAAGCTGAAACATATCACTAAGAGATGACGTATGGAACCGTATACCAAGAATGCACTGTTATCGGATATTTGGTCCTGCCGCCAGAGGCTATTGAACAGAACACCCTGCACCAGTTCTTATCAACCAGAACCCCGCTGCTGCGAACATCAGTAGGTATACTCGTACCTATACCTTACCGACGTGGGCCGAACACCCCGCCTGTTTCATGTGATGTTAGTCCCAATGGTAGGTATAAGGTAGCATCTTTTTAGTTATTGACTCAGACTTAATAACACAGTAACAGAGTTACAATGCATGCGATTCTCGGAATTGGCTGCACTTTCGGAAGACGTTTCCCAGTTGAAATAATATTGTTTCCTTCAAAAAAATAATATATTTATTTTATACTGATAGCCTATGCCATAGATAACAGTAGAACCATAGATAGATAATAGATAGATAGATAGATGCAATAGATAACAGTAGTTCTACTGTTATCTATGCCTATGCATATGGCGCATTTGAATGTGCGGCATTGAATGTCGGACATCTTCGTTTCAGGGCCTGAGCTGAGCTGCTTGGTTCGTAACAGTGATGTTTGTGTTGATTCGTGCTGGTCAGAAATATTTCGAATGAATATACATATCTTGTAATCACCTAACTGGACGTAAAATACATACGAAAGACTTCGCTCGCTCCGTAACCCTTACGACAGCATAAAGCTTACCTACCTTTAACGTGCAATATGTAGTAGTGGCTAGTGCATAGTTTAAGAGTGAAACTGAATGCGGCAAAAAAAGTAGGTTTACCTTCTTTGCTCATTCAGGGAATCATCACACTAGTTTCCTACCTGTTTTACTGCTAGTCTTTACCTGAAGCACAAGTAAATAATTCGCACTGACCTGTTCATTTCGTTCAAGTCGGGCAGGGGTGCCTTAGTTGTGACGTTGCTGACCGTTGCCATGGTTACGTTGGCCGACATCTCCGTCACAGATTGGCTGTCCACGTCCATAGTTCAGCCCGGGCCGCAGTTAGCTTGAAATGGTTACGGAACGGGGACAATCCCACTCTCCGGCCAAAGCTTGGATTTACACGCAGGTGAAAAGCAGCAGTCTGAAAATACAGAATAAGCAATGGCACTCATTCAGTTTGGAGAGCACTTAGAGCGCCTTTTCACTGTGAAAGAGCACACATTACGGGATTATTGAATATGTGAGCACACTCGTCCAAAAATCCCACAGAGCCGCGGGCAGAGGTTGCATTCGACACCATACGGGATACTTCCACAACTGTGATGCAAAAGACATTTGACTTAGGCTTTCCGAAAAGAGCTGTCAATTAATTTTCTTTTCGGGTATAACCATGTTCCAATAATGGGAAGCCCCTGCTCGGTCAAATCTTACACTGTAAGCACCAAGCGCCCCAGTGCAGTGTTTCGAATACCCGGGATCATAAGACTCCACTCGGGCCAGTCGACCACCGGGATATTCAGCTATGAAGGCCAAATGGGATTTATGAGTTTCAAAGATAGCAATTGCTCGTTTTGGCGGTGCGCTTCTGATGCAGCGCACGGCCACAGAAAACTGCTGGGTAGGCTGTGCCGCACTGTCGCCAGTCATTGCGGCACAGCATAACTCACTCAGTGGCCGCCACTTTGCCGCGCTCGTCATGGACACACAAACCAAAGTACACAAACCATCCTCGGCCTGCAGCATGGGTGTAACTTTGTATACTTTCGAGGTCCCATGTGGGACCCCAATGCGAACATTTGGGACCCCAATTGTCATTTTGGGACCCCAATAGTGGAGGCCCCCGAGACGCATCAGCTACTTTGCAAACGGAGGTCCGATATTCATATAAAAGGTTCTCTGTTTAAATAGGAGGCCCCTTGGACAAATCGGAGGCCCTGTTGGACAAATAGGAGGCCCCCTGAACAAGTAGGAGGCCCCCTGAACAAGGAGGCCCCCTGAACAAGTAGGAGGCCCCCTGAACAAGTAGGAGGCCCCCGGAAAACAGGAAGTCCCCTGGAGAAATAGGAGGCTCTCTGGACAAGTAGGAGGCCTCCTGGACAAATAGGAGGCCCTAGACAAATAAGAGGCCCCTAGACAAATAGTAAGCCCCATGGACAAGTAGGAGGCCCTCTGTACAAATAGGAGGCCCCCCTGCAAAAATAGGAGGCCCCCTGGACAAATAGGAGGTCCTAGACCTAGACAAACAGGAGGCCCCTTTCACAAAAGGAGGCCCCTGGACAAATAACTAGGAGGCCCCATGGACAAGTAGGAGGCCCTCTGTACAAATAGGAGGCCCCTGCAAAAATAGGAGGCCCCCTGGACAAATAGAAGGTCCTAGACCTAGACAAAAAGGAGGCCCCTTTCACAAAAGGAGGCCCCCTGGACAAATAGGAGGCCCCTTTCACAAAAGGAGGCCCCTGGACAATTAAGAGGCCCCCTGAACAAGGAGGCTCCCTGGATAAAGAGGAGGCCCCCTAAAAATAGGAGCCCTCTGGATAAATAGGAGGCCGCTTGGAAAATAAGAGGCTACTTTAACCAATAGGAGGCCCCTTGGACAAATAGGAGGCCCCCTGAACATGTAGGAGGCACGCTGGACAAATAGGAGGCCTCTTGGGCAAAGAGGCCCCCTAGAAAAATAACAGGTCCCTTGGACAAATAGGAGGCCCCCTGGACAAATAGGGGACCTCTTGAACAAATAGGAGGCTCCATGGACAAGTAGGAGCTAGAGGCTCTCTGTACGAATAGGAGGCCCCCTGGACAAATAGAAGGCTCCCTTAACAAAAAGGAGTCCCTTAAAAAAAAGGAGGCCCCGGGACAAGTAGGAGACCCTTGGACAAATAGGAGGCCCCTGCACAAATATGAGACTCCTAGTCGAATAAAAGACCCCTGGATAAATAGGAGGCCCCTGGACAAATAGGAGGCCCCTGAACACGTAGGAGGCCCCCTAGATAAAAAGGAGGCCCCCTGGAAAATAGAAGCCCCCTGGATAAATAGGGGACCTTCTGGAGAAACAGGAGGCCTCCTGGACAAATAGGAGATCCCATAGCCCGCGCCCTGCTGGGGGTCCTGGATTTCCACGCCCTGCTGGGGGGGGGGGTGTTTGAACACCCCCCCTTGTAACTCGGCTCCTGGGCCACGTAGCGATACGCGGAAGGCGGCGTTCGAAAGAGCGTAAAAAATAATGACGAAATCAATTCGGTCAATTTTTTGGTCAGGTCAAAGGTCAGGTCACCAGAGGTCATTGAAGGCAAAATTTCGCCGATTTCCAGGTCGAATGTCGAAAATTTCCAAGAAGCCAACGCATAACTCGGGAACCAATAGAGCTACAGCGCCGCGGAAAAGCGCATTCGATAGCCCTATTAACGCCCTTTCTGAGTAATCCTCTCAGATTTGACCTAACGTCAACGGTTTTGCCTGCAGGGGGCAAAAACTGCAAAAATAGCCGATTTTTTTCGAAAACAGTTTTTCTGCAATAACTTTTGACCCAAGCCTTGTACGAGCTTACTTTTACCGGCATCGTGTTCCTCTCGTCAAGACGCATCGAATGAACTATAACTTGACCTTGAAAGGTCAACTTGAAAATTTGACCTCAGGTCAAGGTCATGACCTGACCGGAAAGGGTCATGTTGCATATCAGTCGATCCGTATCGTCGAGCTGAACACATCTAAGGCGTTTTCATCGCTCTAGCATGCCTCTATCAAAAGTTATTTGCGAAAAACTGATAGATACCATTCGTGACCTAAGATGACCTCAGGGCATAAACAAGGGTCACGGACACCATTTTCAAGTTCAGTGTGTCTAAACCACTTGTAATTCGGTGTTTGGGAGTGTTTATAATGTCTTTCATCCAAAAGAGGCGCATTTCAATTTTCTCCCATTGACTTATAATGGGGAGGTCGCAAAATTGACCTGACCTTAGGTCATCGATATCAAAATTCTGAGATATACATTTTGTACATGCTATTGCTCTTAGCAATCGCTGAAAGTTTCAAAGCGATCGGTCACTCGGTGTAGCTATGACAGACATTGAAACTTTTTATGAGGTGAGGTCACTTCAAGTGACCTGGTGACCTGACCTTGAATGACCTTGGTCTGAAATTTTCACAACATGTGTAGAATTGATGTATAATAAGGTATACCAAAAACGGCGGCGCTCCGCGCCGCCGTTTTTGAGATATTCGCGAAAAACCACAAGGGGGGGTGTTCAAACACCCCCCCCCCCAGCAGGGCGCGGGATAGACGAATAGGAGGCCGCTTGGACAAATAGGAGGCGCCGTTAACCAATAGGAGGCCCCCTAGACAAACAGGAGGCCCTCTGTAACAGTAGGAGGCTCTCTGTACGTACAAGAGACCGGCGCTGTAGAAGCTTAGCCGTATGTACGCTAGGAGGCTCTCTGTGCAAGTAGTCGAAGTAGGAGGCTCTCTGTACTGTACCTACAATTACAAATAAGAGGCCCCCTGGGTAACTTAGATGCAACACAAATCGGAGGTCACCTATAAAAAAGCGGGACTCTGTTGGAATACCTGATTTAATAAATTATTTTCCTGATATTCAAATTACTTAGGTAATCCTCGTCCGCACATGGTGGGGGGGGGGGGGGGCAGTGGTTGCCACACCCCCCACCCCGACCTAGGTAGTTTTTTTCTGCTCTGCACTAAACATTTTGATTGCTAGAAGTCGGATATTTCGTATAGCTGCTGCTCTATCCTTTTTTAGCGTCCACTGAAAATTTCAAGTTTCTGTGGTTTTTGGTTTCGGAGATATGACCTTATTCTTCAGGTAATGTCATAACCCAAATGACAAATACCCAATATCTTGCGTTGGCGTTGGGTCTTGTGAGCTTTTGACACCTTGATTTCGGCCTTTTTTGTCAGTCTTACCTCCCACCTATCATGGAACATGTTGTTCAATGATGTAGAGATGCCAGGGTCAGGGTCAAGGTCAACCTAGGTCGTCTAAAAATATTGCGTTTTAGGCAAGCTGAATTTACTTTCGTGAAGTTTCTTTGACTGTATTTTTGGCAAAAGCTTCTCAGTTCATGATCTCATGTAATATGGACACATTCACAGTCGGTGCACACATCAGTATACTCGTACACACAGACACACACAGACATACAAACACATGTCATTGACCTTGAGCTAACTTGACCTGAAATGACCACAGCCAGCAAAAACCTAGTCGGATAGTGTGACAAAGAGGTTCTAGCTGGCTTGGCACCACAATACGGCAGCGTCAGCGGTACATGATGAGCAGCGCACGTGATATTCCAACGGGCAACGGTGACCCCAAACAGCAACATTCTTTAGTTTGACCTGACCTGGAAGGTCAATGACTGACCTGATGAGGTAAAATTGGTATCATTGGATTCGTCACTTCCCAAAGAATCTGTTGCTCTTGACCGCAAGGCTTAAAATCTTGTAAGAAAAAATTGTGGTGATGTCGAATAAGATACCTACACAAGCAGCGGGCCAACCCATCATATACCGATGACGCTGCCGTATTAGTGCCAAGCGAGCTAGAACAGCTCTTTGTCACACTATCCGACTAATTTGCTGGCTGTGGTCATTTCACGTCAAGTTAGGTCAAGGTCAATGATATGTGTTTGTATGTCTGTGTATGTCTGTGTATGTACTGATGTGTGCACAGATCGGTTTGTGTGTCCCTATTACACTTGATCATGAACTGAGAAGCTTTTACTAAACATACAGTCAAAGAAACTTCACGAAAAGTAAATTCAGCTTGCCTAAAGCGCAATAATTTTAGATGACCTAGGTTGACCTTGACCCTGACTCTGACATCTGTACATCGCAGAACAACATGTTCAATGATAGGTGGGAGGTAAGACTGGCAAAAAAAAAGCCGAAATCAGCGTGTCAAAAGCTCACAAGGCCCATAGCCATCGCAAGATATTGGGTATTCGTCATTTAGGACATGACATGACCTGAAGAACAAGGTCATATCTCCAAACCCAAATGCCGCAGAAGCTTGAAATTTTCAATGGACGCTGAGAAAAGATAGAAAAGCAGCTATACAAAGAAAATCAGGTTTCTAGCTTTAAAAATGTTAAGTGTAGAGCAGAAAAACTAACTTGGGGGTG